ACACAGAGGTGACACGTTCCCTTTCGGAACCACCAGCCTTCTTGAGGGAAGCTCCAGTTTGCAAGAAGATTACACCAAAGCTTGTCCCAATTCAGCCAAAAAAATTAGCACAACATGTTGGTGCCATGTCATGACACCATGCCAAGTTTCATGATTTTCAGGCATGTTTTGGATTCATAGGAATTAAAAAACTAAGTTTCTCAATCTTTCCGGCCGAGCCACGACGTCCGCATGTTTGAATTTCATTCTCATTTCTTGCATGGGACCTAGAAATTCACCCAAGGACACACATGTGATTTTTCAACCAACTTTGGTGCACTGGAGCATGTGCTTGTAGTTCAAATTTGAATTATGCACATTAAATGCCCAAAAACTCAATTAATGTATAAAAAGGCCAAACGAACCCGAAATAATTCCAAAATTTAGCACGATACTTCTATTTGGTCTAATCTGCCTGTGTTAAAAAATTAAGACAGGAGAAGGCAGTGTACGTATGTCGTTTCGCACACGAAGATGACACGTTCCCTCTCGGAACCACGAGCCTTCTTGAGGGAAGCTCCAATTTACAAGAAGCTTACACCAAAGTTTGTCCCAATTCGGCCAAAAAAATTAACACAGCATGTTGGTGCCATATCATGACACCATGCCAAGTTTCATGATTTTCAGGCGTATTTTAGATTTATAAGAATTAAAAAACCAAGTTTCTCAATCTTTCTGGCCGAGCCACAACGCCCAGATGTTTAAATGTCAATCCCATTTCTTGCATGGGACCTATAAATTCACCCAAAGACATACATTTGATTTTTCAACAAACTTTGGTGCACTGGAGCATGTGCGTGTAGTTTAAATTTGAATTATGCACATTAAATGCCCAGAAACTCAATTAATGCATAAAAATGCTAAACGAATCCGGAATAATTCTAAATTTAAGCACGCCACTCATGTACTAGTTGCATGTTCACTATACGTAAATGTTTCTAGCTATTCAAACACCATCCTTTTTCTCCGGAACACCATTTTGTCTTTCAAAAACATAATGAAAAAAATCAGTTATACCACAAACAGTTTACTAGAAAGAATCATGTGGGATGCGATATAAAATATCTTGGCGCACCGTCTTATCTAGCTTACGCAGGAAGCTTCGTCGTTTACAGTCCATCGCCCCCGCTTGAACCACACTTGCGCGCCAGTTTCTCGCGGCACCGAGCGAATTTTTTGCCACCGCGAAAATATCTATCTCCCCGCCCCCTCCCTGCCACCAAAAGCCACATTTCCACTGTTCCTTCTTGCTTTCCAAGTTCAAACATTCACTGCTGCTTACTGGCAGCTCAGCCTCCTCGCCGGCGACCCTTCTTCTTGCAACGCCGCCTCCTTGCCGGCTACCCTTCTTCTTGCAGCACCGCCTCCTCGTCGGTGACCCTTCTTCTTGCAACGTCGCCTCCTCGCCGGCGATCCTTCTTCTTGCTGCACGGCCTCCTCGCCGCTGACCATTCTTCTTGCTGTGCGGCCTCATCGATATGGTCAGGTAATCCACACCCCACCCACACCATTCTCCTCCTTTCCCGTCCCACATGCCCCGACCGACGGCGTGACACCTTCCATTGAAATCACTGTCCCCCTCCTCCACAAGCGCCGCCCACAGTCATTTTGCATGTAGTATAACATGGATCTCAGTAGCATGTGGTCACACGCGCGCACGGGGTCGCTATAGCTGCCATGCGTGCCGACCGCCAAATCTTGGAGGAGCACCTCGACTTCGAGGCCACCATCGATACCGCCACGCGGTTGTCTACTTAAAAATACAGTTCGTGCTGTTTTCTCGAGGCCACCGCTAGTGCCTTCTAGTGATTTGTCCTCTATAATGTTAATATGCAATCTGATGTTCAGTTAACAGTTTGGTCCTCTAAAATGTAATGTTCAGTTAACACTTTGGTCCAACAATTGCTGCATTTCGTAGTACTATTCTCAAGCATTATTTGTTTTGTTAATTGTCTTATCTTCTAGTACATGTTTCTATTCTGCAATGTCGTGCTCAGTTAACTATTTTGGTTCATTTGGTCTGTTGTCCATTTAACTGTTTGGTTCAGTTCTGCAATTTGATTTTCATTTACTGTGGGTACAATTTTGTATTGTTATGCATGTGACCCCAATCGAATTTGGCTGTACTCAATACATATTCTACTAATAGTATGGCAACTCTCAGTTAACCCAATCAAGATCTTCCTTATGTGTGTTGCAGGGAAACAATGGGAGACACTGCGGTTTACCATCGAGGTTTGTTCAAGCATGGCCCTTTGGCTAACAACACATTATTGTGCAGTTGCAGGAATCATTCTAATGTTTAGGTTTCTTACAATTGGGTCTTGCACATGTAGGTCCTGCTGTTAGAGGCTTAGACCCACTGTTCGACCCATTTTGCATATGGGGAAATGAGATGTCCATGAATATCAGTCAAGTAAAGAAACTCAGAAAGATTGTTAGGATGAAGAAACTTGTGATGAATAACAGTAAGATCTTTGTTTACACAATGAAGAAGACATCAGTCAACTATAGCATGGCACTAACTCTTTTACCTTGTTTTTACCCCTTGCGCCATTTCAAAATTTATAACAGCGATTTATACATATCTTTGTTTTCAGTACTTTTTAAAGCAGTTCACCGATGATTACCTCTCAAACCACCTGCATGATGAAGAGGCGAGGAATGTATTCATTCAACACCCACGGTACAATATTGAAGTCTTGCTGAAGAGGACGAAGGTTGGGCGGGCAATTATCCATAGCCACTGGCCTAAAGTTGCAAGGACATTCAACATCACTGAAGGCTCAATATTTGCCTTTCGCTTTTGCAGTTTCCCAGATGAGATTCATCTGTCTATTTACCATGTATGATGCTATTTTTCAAAGGTTTTTGATGCTGCATGTGAAACTTGGTGTTGTTGTGTAATGGTGTAACTGAGTGCCGAAGCTATCTGATGTAATTCGATTATGAAATCCTGGTTGCTGTTATACGGATATGAAATATCTGGTGTATTTTATAAGAAATATCAATTTGATTAGTACATGGATTATCAACAATAGGCTAATTACCCTGCTTATTGGGGTTTTCTATTGTAGACAGTTACTCAGACAACACCGTGGGCAATGAACTCAAACAACCCGCACGGTTTCTAGAAAGTAGGCGTGTTCGATCAACTAACAATCACACATGGCTTCCGGCAGCGAACTGTTTGCGTTAGGTCACCTTGCACAAACATTTCCACACAAAGAACTGTGTGTGATATACATACCTACGGAAATGTTTTTCCGGGTTCACCGTGTGGCATGTACATACCTACGGAAATGATTGAGTTTTGATGCCTCGCACGATCGCACACGAGCTCATTTGGTGTCCCAGGAGGGCCTATCCCCGACGGTTACTGGGTCGTGTGGGAAGGACCCCCTATCGCCCACACTCACTTGGCGACGGTTCCAAATGCCGTCGCGGAAAGGGGTTAAAAGACCGTTTGTATAATACGTCGTTGTACCAGTGAATGTGTCTCTTCTTCATCCTGTTACAATCGTGCCATGCAAGATCACCAGCTCGGGACCTCCCTACCCTAGATCTGCCAAATTTAGCTCATCAAGTTATGAGCGTGCGGAGCGATGGGGTGGTGTTTGACGGTGGTGTAGGGGTCACCGACAGTACATTGACGCGATGCTCGAAGTGGGCACGTGATAGCCGTGGTGATCCAAGGAGGCGTGAAGCTAGCATGGCAGCGCGGCGGGGCGGCCCCGGTGAGGGTGAGGTAGTGCATCGTTCGGTACTCGAGGTCGCACATGGGAGGACGAGGGAAGGTGAAAATTAGGTTGTTGGCTCCCACCAACGTGGGTGGGGATATAGAGTTGAAACTCCCCCAATATATGCTGGGGTAGACTTGTTCATGGGCAGCCCAACCCAGAAGCCCGACATTTGGGTCGGGCTCAAGCCTGGCTTTTTCGCTCGGAGCCCTACCTTGAAGCCGTGAATGTGCCAAAAATATTAATTTATATAAAAATAGGTGTAATATACTATTTTTATCCCCAAATCATTATTTCAAATGAAAAATGCATTGTTCACATGTTTTTGGCGGACTCGGGCTTGAGATTTTCACCTGGGTTCTGTCAAGCCCGACGAGAAACCTAGCTCGGCCCGACTAGGTATGATCAGGTTTATGCTGGAGCATGTTTTTTTTTTGACCTAACCCCTCATACTAAGAATGTTTTTGAAAAAAAGAGATCTTTTGAAGATGATCTAAAGCCAGCTAATGCGAACCAAACCATTAGTTGTACCATTTTGCGCTAGGTTTTGCAAGAGTTCCCACTTAGCACCAGATCTACCACTACACGTACTGATTATGTGAGAAAACACATATACAAGGCTTAAAAGGATCTAAATATAAGATGCATTGCCTGGACAGTTCCTTGCCCCGTTCTCACGACCCAAGGGAAGGGGCGGCGACTGATCTACATCTTCCCTGACGAGACCGTGTCCTTCTACCCTCCCCCTTCCGTCTATTGTGCCCACGATAAGAAGGGACGAAGACTTCAAGTGCTCCGGCTAGTGAAGTTAGGATTAGGATAAATTTCGGTTGTACTCTCCGATCGGCAATGGTCAGACGACGGAGTCATCGTCGATGTGAAATAAGGTCGCTGCACCCCATCATAGTTTGGTGGTGCATCTTCGTATGTGGAGGCGTGTGAAGAATGTTGTGTCCCGGATCTGGTTCTCCGGGTTTGGCTCCATTTCCTCGCGTTTTGACTTTTCACTAAGTTTGTTATGTTAAGTGATAAAATATTATACGTTTTTTGGGAGTTTTTTATAGCAAAAGTCTTTTCAGGATACGATGTGTTCTTTGCCTTTCTGCAGGTCAGATTAGATGGGCCTGGAAAATTAGCCCATGTCTGCCCCTCCCACGCATCTCCTCCATTGAAACCAAGTAAGTGAGTGCGGCAGCCCAATCACAATAGCGCAGCCGAAAAATGTTCGCCCTCCGCAAAACCCTGCTCCACGGCCGCCTCCCCGCGCCGCCGGCCACCGCCGCCTCCAGGATCTCCTCCTTCCTCCGCTCCCTCTCCACATCTCCGGGGGGCGAGGGGGTCGGGGACGAATGGGGCTCCTCCTGGTCCACCGGCATCACCAAGGACCACTTCGACGGGTCCGCCTCCGCCGTCGGGCGCCCCTCCCCGTCCGCCCCCGTCTCCAAGGAGCTGGCGGCCGTCCGCACCATGGACGAGGAGGATGAGATCCTGCGCTCCGTGGATCGCGACAACAAGGAAGGGAGGGCGTACGTCGACTCGTGGGACAAGCGTTTTCACGAGACGTGCGAGCTGCTGAAGCAGGTGCGGGAGCCGGGATCCCGGGGCGCCTACCTCAAGGACTCGGAGAAGCAGGAGATGTACCGGCTGCACAAGGAGGACCCCGCGACCTACACCGTGGAGCGGCTCGCCAAGGACTTCCGCGTGATGCGGCAGCGCGTGCACGCCATCCTCTGGCTCAAGGAGATGGAGGAGGAGGAGGAGAGGAAGCAGGGCAAGCCGCTCGACGACTCCGTCGAGATCCTGCTAGACAGCTGCCCAGAGTACGTGAAGAGATCCTTTTTGCTTCCTTCGGTTTTGTGTTAAAATAATTAGGTCATGAGTCTGAGTAAAAAGATCTAGGGTTCTAGTTCGTAAGTCACGGCCCCTGTTTTATTTAAGAGAACATTATAAGGAAATCAATTACAATAAGAAAATGTCTTTTGCTAATTCGTAAGAGGTCTAGTTAATCCATGAATACTAAACTAAGTCTCTTAAATTGTTGCTTCATGCAGTTTCTTCCTGAATAGAAATTTCCAATGCTCTGGATCATGAAAATTGGCAGTAGCATGGCAATCCTAGGTTAGAACCATGTGATTGAGACTAAACTGGGTGTATGGTTTTTAAATGAACGTGCAGTTTAAGGCTCTTCAACTCGAATGTTGTGACTATATATGCTTGATGAAATGGTATGGAGTCGAGGAATTCTTTTCGAGGGGATAAGAAAGCGTTGAGCTAGGTGTTTGTATTGCAAATGTACTAATATAGTTGTTCCAGGGTGAAGTTGGCTTAATGTTATTTTGCAAGCAAAACAGTCATTGACGTCAGATCCTTGGAGATTCATCTCAGCTGGATTTTTTTCCCTGAAAATTTAAGTTTGTATTACTGATTAGCTCAACACTACGCGCATAAAGTCAATGGTGGAAATTGGTAAACAGTGGGAATTTGGTTTTAACTTCTTGGTAAAGCTTACCATTTCAGTTTGCATGTTATGTACTACTAAATTGCACTTATACTCCATAAGTCCATAGACACGGAGTCACTGTTTGCAAATTGATGTGTTTCTCTTGTGAGTAGTGAGAATAAAACTATGAGATTGGAAGGTTATGCTTGGAATTGCACTTACTACTCCCTATCTGATTCTTCCTTTGGTTTTCTAGGTTTTTCAATTCCCATGACAGGGAATTTCATGTGGCATCTCTTCCATATAAACCTGACTTCAAAGTTATGCCTGAGGGCTGGGATGGCACGACAAAAGATCCTGATGAGGTCCTGTATGAGATTTCAATGAAGGAAGATCAGATGTTATATGAGGAATTTGTTCAACGCTTGGAGTTCAACAAGAAAAAGGTAGGCATATCATTTTCTTTGCTCCCTTTTATGATATTTGCTCAAAGAGAATGGCTGTTACTGCTAGTTTTAATTTGTAATCCAGTACAAACTCCTGCAGCAGACCTATATATAGATAGCAGAAAAGAGTATGGTTGTGCTGTTCTGTTAGTTCTTCTGTGATTTAGTACAAATTCCTGCAGTCTGTTTGCTGTGACTTGTAAGACCCCATGATAATGTCTTGCTAAGTTTGATTGTTGTGGAGAGTACTGGAGTTTGTGCATAGGAAAACTCTGTTCCTGTCAAGTTCTATGGACATAGGAAATGGAAACAGTCTTTCTGTAGCAAATTTTCCACTGGTCATCTGCCTCACGCTTCATTGTTTTGCAGGTGGCAGGAGAGGTGAAGTGCCACAAGTACAGCAGGCGACGACCAGACGATGGATGGGCCTACATGGTCGAGAAGCTTGGGCCACAGGGAAGGCGTGGTTCAGGAGGGGGCTGGAAGTTCATCAGTTTGCCTGATGGGTCGAGCCGTCCTCTGAATGACACGGAGAAGATGTATGTGAAGAGGGAGACTCCGAAACGGCGGAGGAGGATCATTGCTCCATACAAGTAACAGGAAAGGCCCCTCTGCTCGTTATAATTGCAGGAGTTCTACGAACGAAAGTTCTTTTGTCGTTCTCCAGGGAAGCAGAAGCGTGAGAGGTTGTAACCGCCAGCATCGGTCGTGTTTTGTTGCAGCGCCACCAGAATTCATCTTGTTTTGCTGCAGCGGACGTGGTTTAATGTATTCTTGGCATCTGTAACAAGTTCCATTCCCCACTTTAGGCAGATGAATAATATGTCCTTTGAACCGTTGGCGTGTCTCCGTCTCCACAACATTTCCGGGCAAGTTGTCACTCGGTAGGCAGTACCAGGCAAACACGCTTTGCAGTCAACATTTCATATAACCTGCAATATTTTTGCTTACAAACAGTACTTGGACATAAAATTTCCTACTACTAGTTGGACTGGAGGCCCAATAGACTATTTCTGATGTGGAGATGTATGATTTCCTTTCCTGCTGTACACATCTCCTGTTGTGCCCAATCATTTGCTTGCCGCTGGTGCTTCGACTTTCAAGCTCGAAAGGATTGCGACAAATGTGATTCAGTAAGCTTATTTAGCAGTCATCTCTGACTAAGTGCGAATTTTCTTGCGAAAGAGTAGGATTTTATGCATCTGAACTGCTCACCTGTCCGCATGTTAAGCATGCTTAGAACGAGGCAGCAGTGGAAGATGACCCACTGACTTGCTTGATGATGTTGTAAAGCGCTTTAATGTGCATCGTCCATAGTCGAAAATTCTTTGCGTCGACCCACCGTGCGGACTGTAGATCGGCCGATGTCCTTCGGCCCTGGCCACCGATCCACCAACCACCTACTACAACAAAGCTAACTCAGCAGAAAATAATCATGAAACGACACTTTTTTCTCGAACTTAATCATGACACGCCACTTGGTCCTCGATACGTTGCGTCCAAAGACCCAGACGCGTAAAGGCTGAGGTGACCATTGCCATGTTTAGCGCCCGTCTTCTATCAGTTGGTTACGAATTTGCGATGATGGTGAAACGGCTGTGAGACAGGTCCATCAGCAAAAGTATGATTTCTGCTTGCGGTTTGATTGACAGTTGGTCAGGGGAACCTGGCGACGGAAATACAGCGACCGGGCGGAGACAGATGCAGCAAAGTGTTTTCGAATCGGTATCTCTAGGCTGCTCCTCGGCGCTGCATCATGGGATATGCTTTGGCAATTGTTTTTTTTTTCTGAAAAACTTCCAATCTATTCATAATCAATTATTTTCTTTTGAACTTTATTCATGATCAAATACGACCGTATAAAAAGCACTAGGGGTAACAAAAATTACAACCAGCTCTATGGACCACCTAGCGGCGACTACAAATATTTGAGCTCAACATCCTAGAAGATAGCCTCAGCATGCTTGCTTCCACGGTAGCGGCAGGGGAAAGGGCGGGCGCACGGTCCCAAAGCCGCCGCCCCCTTTCCGCCTCATCCCTCACAAGCTCGACAAAGCCCACTTCCAGCTGCTCCCAAAAGGGATCTAGGGCATTCGGCGGCGGTTTTTGAAACATGTCTTGGAGAGGAAGGAGTCCAGAGAGATTTGGGAGGTTTAGAGAGGGCAATGATATAGAGGGGAGGCCACGCCAACCATTAAGAGGGCGGTTGTGGATGTGGTAGGCGGCCATCTTCTCGATAAGAAACGTGGTCGCGCTCACTCGTGTCCCTGCTGCTCACATAGCAACTCTTGACCTGCTATACGCAAGCCAGGAGATGATGTCGCATGGCGGCCATTTGATGGGCCCACCACGGGAATCCCAAGGAGCGGATGTGGGATTAATGGTCGGGTGCCCATCCCCGGTGGTGCGTGGGAGGCCGAGCTGCTTCAAACCCTGTCGTGCACTGTGAGGAGGAAGAAGCTGAAACCCTCCTGTTGGTGCAATGATTTGCCTCGTGTTTTAGAGATTTTTGTCAAAAACAGTGAGTAAACTAATGTGTTTGATAGTGCACACAGAGATTATAAGTCCCTGAAGTGAAGGGAAGTTTGGTACAAACTCCAAAGATAACCACCTACGCTGCAGTGAAGATTATCACCGAGATTATGCGTGATGAAGTTGACCCCCAAATATTGCTGAAATGAAGCAATTAGTCCGGTGCATGGTTCAAAGAAACTGACTGCAACCAAGAAGAATGAAGACAGAGAAAAGACATAGTATTTTCTTTCGTAGTTCATTTTCTCTTTCTTGAATCATAGGATCACTGTACTATTAGGAGGGGTATAGTGTTCAAAACTTATGTTTTTCTGATGCTAAACTAAAAACCTATGAAAGTTGAGAGAAATATCTTTTTGTTTCGAATAAATACTCACTAGTCAGAGGTGTTGTTCTTTCATACTGTGGGAGATTTACTTCGGACCGGAGTCAGCTTACTTGTTCCTCAAGTAAGTTGTCGGGTTTCATTTGAAATCTTTTTTTCTTTTTCTTTTTTCGAAAGGAGGGGACATCCCTCAGCCTCCACATCAAGTGATGCACATAGCCTTTTATTTATCATATCAAAGTTCATCATCCGACCATAACAAAGTTCAACCAATAAATTGTCGCACATGACTGCCCGAAGGGTAAATTAAAAAGTAAAAATTTGTAGGAAAATGAGCCTCATGCATCACAAATCCTACTAGTAGGCCGCCAACCAAATCGGTTAAACAAATCCCAAGAGACCATCTCCCATCGGTTGCACCCAAAGACCGTGGGCACCCGATCCTCCTCCTTGCGAAGTAATGACCACGTATGGAACCAGCTGGTAGCCTTGAAGATAACCTGCAATTTTTTTGGAACTTTTGTTCTGTTAAAAATACAATCATTACGAGTGTTCCAAATGGCCCAAAATAAAAGCACAAATTCCCACACGGATTTGAGACTTAAACTTAGGGTGCACCCCCACTAACTAGTTTCCAAACATATTCATACTACTCATAGGTGGAGATAGGTTGAAAGCTATATGGACCGTTCTCCATAGTAACTTGGCAAGTGGGTATTGAAGGAATAGATGCTGAATCGACTCCTCATGCCACAAAAGCAACACTTAGTGCATCCTTGCCAATCTTTTTTTTCCAGATTATCTTTTGTCAGGATGACCTTGCGATCCAAGTACCACATGAAGATTTTTATTCTCGGTGGGACTTTCATTTTCCATATATAATTGTCGTGAAAAGGTTGTCCATCATCGATGAGGTCTGTATACATGGATTTGACTATGAAGGCATCAGAAGTAGTCAACTTCCAATGGAATGTGTCTGAATGTGTCTGGTTCGTGTGAAAGGTTAACCATCATCAACCTTTCAACAAGGTTTAACCAGTCTGTCCATTTGTCCCTAGTCAGTTGTCTTCTAAAGGCAACATTCAACGGCATGTGGCCCATCACAGAGGCAACGGAGACATCTTTCCGCTGCACAATATGATAGAGACGAGGGTATTGCATGTCTAGTGGCAATGTCCCCTAGCCATGTATCTTCCCAGAACCTAGTATTTAGACCATTTCCTACAATGAACGCCCCTCTGTGAAAAAAACATTTTTAACTCCCATGAGTCTTTTCCAGAAAGGTGAGTCTAGTTGTTTTGCTTGAACCTCATAGAGGGTTTTTGAATGAAGGTACTTATTCCTAAGTAATTCTTGCCAAACCCCATCCTCGGTAAGTATCTTGTAAAGCAATTTCTCAACAAACACTTATTTCTAATCTCAAGGTCTTCCACCCCTAGACCTCCTTGGTCTTTAGGGCGATAGATCACATCCCACCTTGTCTGGCGGTATTTATGCTTATGTTCATCAGACTGCTAGAAAAACCTGGATCTGTAGTAATCCAATCCTTTTCTTACCCTTTTAGGTATTTGAAAGAAAGATAACACTGGTGCGCGTCGGTCCTAAACAAACGGGTTTTAACCCCTTTCCGTGACGGCATTTGGAACCGTCGCCAAGTGAGTGTGGGCGATAGGGGGGTCCTTTCCACACGATCCAGAAACCGTCGGGGATAGGGAGCATTGATGCATACAGTTGTCCCTATATAACCGTTTTTGATATCTCGAATATCCCAAATGCTTCATCCTTGCTACTAGTTTGTGCTTGCATTGCCATCACAGTCGGAGTTTTGAGGTTCTGCCTAAAACCAGGCAGATTCCAGGCACGGGAGATTTCCAGGAAGATTCTAGGCACGAAAGTTTTACGATGCCTGGCACATCACAAACAGTTCATGATTATAAACCGTGTACGATAGGTAGACAATCACACACATTTAGTTTCCCGCACCGTATGTGATAGTGTCTGACATCACACACGCTTTGCAAACGGCAACTGTGTGCATGCTTGCACACGTTTCCTCTCTGTGAACCATCTCGGATTATGGTGTATATCGCAAACGTTTGTGTTTTACCAACCGTGTGTGCCGTAATGACCTGCACAACGTAATTTCACACTAATTTAATTGCTGCTATTTAAAATTGTACCTAATTAAACTTGAAAGTAGGCTATAGCTTTATTCATATCCATCAGATTCAAACAACCAATGCATTATTCGATTCACACCAAATAAAGAATGATGTACCAGGGTTCTATACTTGTACTATTACAGATGGTAAAGAAAGAGGCGACAGACATTCCAGTTGCTGAACAAGGTGAAGCGGAATGGCCCTATTGTCCTCTCCTGGATACAGAAGGCATGTAGGAATCTAGTCCAACCCCTTGTGATGGTCGGCCGCCAATCATGTAGTTTGAGAGGTAATCTTGAGTAAACTACTTCAGGATCCACTTCAAAAGCAAAAAGCTTTAGATATTGCCATCTGACACAACTCATTACGGGCAGTAAAAAGAAGGCTACAGGGTTCTTACTTACCATCCCGCAGTTCACTGTTGTCTTGCATAAAGTGTAAACAAATAGTTCGATTGACATCTTTTAACCCATTTTAATAACAATCTTTATCAGTTTCCTCACTTGATGCTGGTTCATGAATATCTCATTCCCCCATACACAAAAAGGGGCGAAGTGTGGATCTTTAGCAATGATATATGTACCTAAAAGCACCAAGTTAATATTAGAAGCTAAACAACAATTGAAAAATGATGTAGTACAACACTCCATCCATCCCATTATAT